TCATTCTTTGGCATCTCATTTTTTTGCTGTGTACTTCTCTCAGTGTGTTCTTTGCTATGGTAAGGCCTTTTCATCATGTAATTACTCCTTTGGAAGACTCTAATTTGACAACAACCACCATTTAAAAAATCAGATGTGCTATGACCACAGGGCCTTTGGATGGATAGTTCCCAGAACCTGTTATTTTTCTCCCTAACATATTGCAAAGCAGAAGATTTCCCAAGGCTTCTGACTCCTTTCTTGTTGCTCACAATTTCCCAAGCTCATAGCTAGTGGCTCTGGGATTACATCTTCAAGTTCCTTTCAGACTCTAGATCCAGGGTTTTGAAATCATTGTTATGCTTAGATTTTTCCTTATTTCATAATTTACTGTGGGCCTTTTCTGTTCTCTTTTGCTGTACATTTAGAATTTAGAAATTGTTATCCTCGATCCAGAGGATAGAAGTTGAGCTTTTTTCACCTGCTAACATTACAACATCTTCTTGGACCTACCACGCCTCTGTTCTCCTGCTGTTGTGCATGTCTTCTCCCTTCTTTCCTTCTGTAGTTTTTCTTCCTATGTTCTCTCCTCTGTCATTTTTTCCAGTCCTTCATATTTTTCTTGTCTCCTGCCTCTGCTGTCTCTCTGTCTCTCTGTCCGTCTCTCTATCTCTGACTTTTTGTCTCTCTGTCTTTCAGCTGAATCTATCACAGAGCACCTTGTTAATCTCACTTGCTTCTTGGATCTTCCATTAGCTGAAATTTTAGGCTTCCTCTTTTTTTTTTTTTTTGTACTGGTTTTTGGATATATGTCCCTCATTACTGCTCTTAAAACATACCCTTAAAGAAAACCGTGAGTTCATGAGAATGTCGTCTGCGTGACCACACTGGCTTATGAGTTACAGGTCCTCTCTCTTGCACAGAGATTCTTCGTTATTATTCTGCCTCGGGATTTCTGTAATTCTCCCTTTCCCTGCTGATGTGGACTCCCTAGAGACACACTCCCACTCTCCCAAGGTCCCTATAATTTCTATACTGAAACCAGCTCTTTCTTGTTGGGTACGATTTTTTCCAGAAAATAAAATTTATCCAGAATTCCAGTTTCTCCTTTTCCAGAGAGCTGAAATGGTTAGTTAAGCATGTGAAACAGTTTATTTTGCCAGTATTGGCAAAATGTGACCTCCGACAGATAGTTCCTGACGCCTATTACTGCTTGCCTGTAGTTAGAGTTACGTGGCTGCCTTCAAAAAGCCCTGGCCATTCCTGGGCGTCCACGGTAAACCCTCACCCCGGAAGGTCTCTCGGCTTGCGGGCTGCCCGAGGTGCTAGCCGGCGGGACTTCTGGCCGGAAGCATGCTATCTCTCTCGCATCCCTTTTCACATATGAGACTACTTCTTCCTGTCTCTTTTGAAATAACTACTCCTTCTATTCCAAGAGTCTACCTCACCTATGTGAGAATGCTGTGCTTCTTACATTAACAGTCCAACTTTTTCCTGGCGTCTTGTCCACTGTGATTCAGTGTCAGAGATATTTTAGTGCATAAGGGGTTTTTCTTGTGCTCTAAAATAAACTGAGTTCCTCTCAGTTTCAACTAAGAATAACATGAGGGACAGCCCACGCCTGCCCAGTGATTTCTCCAGATGGCCTGATTCTCAATTTGACATTCTTTTTCCTTTTTTTCTTTGATACACTTTCCCTTCTAGTTTCTTAGCGTTCTGTTCTTCTAAAGCATTGATTGATTCATTCATTCATTCATTTTGCTAATAATCAAAGACATGAAAAGACCTTCTTAGATTTTGCCTGCTCTTCTGCTAGCAAATTACCAGCACACTGGTGATCATTTCAGAAACAATATAGAGTGCCTCTGGCACAAGCTGGCAGGGAAAAGATGTGATGATCTTGACTGGTGGTGTGATTTGGGTCAAGAAACCCACTAGCACAGGTACGGGAAGAAATGACCCAGCTCAGAGTGCACCGTGGCTCTCTCTGGGAACACAGAAAGAAGAATTCACTTTGACCTGGGAGGAAAGAAAGTGGCCTTGAGTAGTGGAGAGCAGATCCTAGGAAGAGGGTGGGGTTAGTGGAGAGATAATGAGCCATGGAGCAGGGACAGGCCTGGGGTTTGCCCATTACATAAGCCTCAGTGTCCCTCTGACTCCTGAGGGGCCAGGCTGGAAAGCCTTTGCTCTTGCTCAAACACTGCCATCCCTCTTCCTATGGAGAGTGGGTCCCCATTTTGCACATCTCATGTCCACTCTGCCTGCCTTAACTCTACACTGCACCTCCTCATTGAATCAGATATGATCTGTTTTCTGTTTTTAAATGCCAAAGTTAACTTGTCCTGTTCCTAATTCTTCCTTTCTTCCTCTCATACATTATTATTTGGCAGAGCCAAATAGTAAGGGGGTTCTCTGGCTTCAAAATATGCAAGCTGCTTCACCTGCCAGTTGTCCAGGCCTGGGGTCCCTACCCTGGCACTCCCACCCTGTCTCCTTGGCTCCTGGGGAATTGTCTCTAACACCATGTGCCTCCCACCTTGCCTCATGTACTACCTATGCACTTATACCTCGGGGTGGCAGGTTAACTTTGAGGTTCACTGAAAGGCCCCTTTGTAGGTAGTGTGGTATAGGCAGTCAGAACTAGATTCAGATCATCTCCAAATTTTGCTACTTTTCAATGGGTTATTTAGTTATTCTGAGTCTTGGGGCCTCTGTGCATAAAATATGGATCATAATCCTAACTCTACATGGAAAAGACACCCATACACTTCCTGGCATTTAATAGATGCTCAGCTGGGGCCAGGGATTTAGCTTAGTGGTGTCAGCGCCTGCCTGGCAAGCGTGAGGTCATGAGTTCGATCCCTGATACCAAAAAAATAAAAAATAAAAATAATAAATAATATATGCTCCGCTGATGGATGTATCATCATGGACAAAATAGCATCTAGTTCTTCCATTTATTTCAAGGGAAGATAAATGAGCTAGAAGAATACAATAAAGCATACCCATAATTAGCAGTTATTATGGGGAGGCATTTGGGCTACAGGTTAGAGTTATTCTAACCTGTAGGTTAGAGTAACTCTAAAGACAGATTAAGGCTGAGAGCTATTCTGCCACTAACTAGTTGTGTGAGGTGGGCAAAGAACTTTACTTTTCCAAATCTTGTTTTCCCCAATTATACAGTGGCCCATGTATAAAACCCACATTGTAAGACAGTTGTAGTCCGGATACAGAATCCACGTGCAGCGTCCAATCCCGTGTCTGATACCCAGCAAGTGACTCAGAGTTGTTGCTCGTACTGTAACCAGTCCTGTGTGCCATTCTCTTCTCTCTGCTGCTCTGCCCAGTGCCAGCCCAGGAGGGGTGTTGGCCCCTGGCGGGGCAGGGAGGACAGTGAACAGAGGCACCCAGAAGGCAGGAGAGGAAGAGTGGACAGTAGGGGCGTATGGAAAGGACCCGGCTGGAGAGGATGCGGCTTTAGGCAGGGTGAGCACGTGGCAGCCGTGGCATTTATTCCTGTTTGAAGCCTTTCTCATCACTTTTATGGGCTGGCCTGCAGGCATTTGTTGAAAAGGTTATTCCACCTGGATCTCATTGAAATTTTGCCTTTGCTGAATGTTTTTCTATCCCAATAACGATATAAATGTTCCATTTGTGATGTAATTGTTCTGTTTCAGATTTTCTTTCCTAAACTAAAACTAGAGTTATCCAAAACATTCGAGACAATGGCTCGAATATAACACTTCGACGGGGTTTTTATTTCCTATGGTTTACATTTCTTTTTCCTATTTAGTCGTCTGTTCTCTGGCTCTAGGTGGAGGCTTCAAAGGGCATCGGCTACATTGGGAAGAGATTAGACAGATGCAGAAAATTACTTTTCTTGCAAGACTTTTCCACTTTCTAGGCACAGGGCAAAGCATAAGCTAAACAGTGGCGGCTTTTACTTATTTGGAAATACAATCAGGATCCTTATTTTGGTTGCTTAAAATTTCTACAGAAAACAACAAGCTCCTGCCAAAGTTACTTATGGCCGTGACATATTTTGAAGCCAGAGAACCCCCTTACTATTTAGCTCTGCCAAATAATAATGTATGAGAGGGAGAAAGGAAGAATTAGGAACAGGACAAGTTAACTTTGGCATTTAAAAACAGAAAACAGATCATATCTGATTCAACAAGGAGGTGCTGTATAGAGTTATTTATTTGTGTTAAAACAAAGGGAGGAATGGTTCCCAAGCCAAAGCCTGAGTCAGGCCCCGTGTCTCATAGTCGATTGTTTTTATGAGGTGTAAATCTCAGTGTTCTTGACCATAAGATGGGAAGATAATGTGATCTAGTAGGGCTGGCGGAGGCTTGGCAGAAAGCAGACGTAAACATAACTGACTCTTCTGACTCTTCTGTCGAGCTATTTTATGACTGTGATAATATATATGAGCATTTTCCTTTTTTGGGTGGAAGAGAAGGAGGCTTTCTGGATATCTGTGCATGCAGGAGGCTTGGAGCTAAGAGGACAGTGGAAGGGCAGGATGGCACCTGTGCTCCATGCCCTTATTCCCCCTCTTGTACATGTTTCTTTGTTCCCGAGCTGCCACCCAAATTAGTGAAGTAGGTTTAGAGTAGCACATTGCTTTGGGCTCCAGCTGATAAAACTCTCGACAAAACAGATCTGAACCACTACTCTCCATCCCACCAGAAAGACTCAGCACAAACACCAGCAGTACTGGTCCAAGTTGTTGGAGGGTGCTGAAGCTGAATATATGTGCAGGGCTGTGGCGTGGCCCGGGCATGATTGATCTGCTTTGTTATGTCCTCTTTTGTCTTAATCTCTTTAAAATAAAAAAAAATTAAAAAAAAAAAAAGAGAATGAGGAGACATCTCAGGAAGCAAGATAGGCCACAGCTGAGGTCACCCGGAGACTTTGTGTATAGTTTTCCTTAATTAGCATCCTCTGTTGCTCTCAGGGGTCCTTGAACCCCACCCAAGATCCTGCTCAGGTTTCCTCCATTGTCCACTCAACTCTTTGCTTGTTCTGATTAAATACGGCTGCCTAGCATCAGTTGGCTGGCCGACCAGCAGAGTTACCGGCTCTGCTGAGGATTTCACTCGTCCTGCAGCCCTAAAGACCACGCTGTTTGTCTCATTCCTTTGAGCCTTCAAGGTGCGCCCATTTGGGGGTTGAGGGTCTAGGCACAGACCCCGACACTAAGTGACCTGTGAGCCATGGATACATCATGATAAAGACAGGACAGCAGAGGAGTGTGGTTCATGGGTAATGGGAGACCCAGAAGGGCCTGGTGGAGACTTTATGTGGTGAGCTTGGCGGGTGACAGTGGTGAATCAGAGCTCTTGAGGGCTTATAGACCTGTAGATGTAACCTTATTTTAATAAGACTTCATAATTTAGTGGTGTTGGGTAACATTTCAGGTCCCTGTCTTCTTACAGGGTTTCCATGTAGATGAAAGGAAAGAAAGATCATGTAAAAAGCCTTTTGCACAGTTTAATGTGCCCAAGTGAGGGGTTGGTATTTTGGCCAAGACTTTCTAGAAGTCAGTGCCACACACTGTTAGGGACCAGTGGTGACGCTGCTGAGGCCAGACACAAATTGGAGGCAGCAGGTCACTGGGACACAGGAACACCACCCAGGAAACCCAAGGGAGTTTCTCTGAATGCGTGCCACATCCTAAGATTTCTATCGTTTAGATTTCAAAGATGAATCATTGTCAGTCTCTGCTCTTCAATATTTCCCAATCCAAATAGAGATTTTCTTTCCATACCCTATATTCTAAGGCAGCTCCAGAATGAAAGGTGCTGTGAGACCTCCCACAGCCTCCCCGGGGCCTCCAACCTTGCCAGGGCTGGGCCATGAAGAGCTCCCTGAGCTGGAGTAGTCAAGGCTGGAGGGGTCCCATGACCCACTGAGTTTTAAGCAAAACCTCCATCCCCATCGCCAGAAAGCAGGGGATATTATGGGTTGTGTTTAGATGTCCTCAAAGAGGGGGCTTTTCAGAGGTGGCTGAATCTAGGGTGTGTGATATTGGGATGAGGGTGTGGTACTAAATTAGTCCACTGATTGGAATTAGCATAGTTCTGTGTGTGGCTGAATGGATTTACTGAAGACGGACGCCCCACTCGGCTGCAGGTGACACCACCCAAAAGGTTTGTATCTTGGACGGGCTACAGGCAGGCTCACTGCTGCTTCTTCTCTGCTTCCTGACTCACACGCCATCGCCTGCTTCTCTGCCTTGGAGCTGGTGGACAATGGACTGAAACCTCTACAAAACGTGAGCTGAAATCTTTTCTCCCTGAACTTCGGGTGTCAGGTGTTTTGTCTCAGCAATGAGAGAGTAACTAAGACATGAAACGTGACAGCTGAGTTGATAGCCACGGAAGGGCCCACTCCCCGTTGACTCCAGTAGCTAGCATGTCTCCTTGCTTCAGGGCTTTATTTTGACTGTTTAAACTTTTCCAGAGAACAAACAGCATCTGCCAAAATTAGTCCTCAAAATTAATTCACTAGGACAGCGAGTTGTCTAGCAGATATTTATTGAGAAACTCTCAGCGGGCAGTCAAGATAAGTCATGTGCCATTCTTCCAGCTCAGCACACGTAGAGATGGTGACTGATTTCAACAGCCAGCAAGGGTGACTGGGATTGTCACCCCAAAGCAGAGGCACCACAGGATCATGTCAGCTGGGTGCTATGAGCCAAGGTTACTGTAGAAGGACCTCTGCCCTGAAGAAGGAGGCACCTGGAAGGTTCCTTTGGATGGGAAGAATGGTTCTGTGTTGCCACAATCGCCACCATGAGAAGGCCTCACAGCAAGGCATTCAGACCAAATCTACAGACATAGCGAGCAGTAAGGTGCCCTGGGTGGGTGTGGGTAGATCAAAGGAGAAATACACAGCTTCTGCAGTCAAGAACTCAGCCTGCTACAGCAGTCAGCAAACTTGTGGCTTGTGGGCCCCTCTGGCTTACCACCTATGGGTGTAAGTAACACTCCATAGGAATGCAGGTTGACCTATTTGTTTATGTTGTTTTTACCTGCTTGGTATCAATCATAAAGCAATTTGAGTAGTTTTGAACTGGTAGCCCACAGAGCCTATTTATTGTTATCTACAGAGTATTTACTGACTCTGTAGAAAAAGTTGGTCACCATTGGTCTTCTGCAGAGACCCAGCCATGCCTAGTTAACTCATTCCCATCTGAAACACTTTGAACAGGATCAGATATCAATACTGGTGAGTGGTCAGTCGGCTGGATGCTGCCCAGGACATTGCTATGATGGGCAGACCAGTCATCAGTTATGTCAGCCCAGAAACGGGACTTGTAAGTTCACCTGGACATAACAGAAGTGTTCGTGATGGATTGACAGGTGCCCAAAATCACAATGTATGAACCAGAAAAGGGCAGGTGCTGTGGGGTAGCCCTTCAGGGAATGGAATGAGTCCTACAGGGCCACTGTTTCTGTACAGGACCACACGTATCCCTGTGTCTGGTTCTCTCTAGGTCGGCTGAGGAGTATAACAGACATGGACCTTTGGGAGAGTTAGTTCTGCTCCCAGTGAGACCAGAGGACAAACTTGCCCTGCTCTTTTCTGGATGACACTGCTCCAGTGCCTGGAGCTGAAGGTCCCCATCAGGGTTAATGTTTGCTTGAATTCTGCAAGTGCAGCACTGATGGGATGATTTTTCCCAAGCTTTGAGTTTGTTAGAGAATATTAATTCTGCTCCTAGGTCTTTCTCATTTGTTTCTCCACATTGACTTCTTTTCTTAGGTTTATTAATGTATCAGAGTTTTTTTGATGTATTAATTTGTATGAATTTGCAGGAAGTGATCTTTTTGGCTTGTTGGAAAACTTCATTTGACTTATGTGGTTTTTTTTTTTTCTATTATTTGACTCTGAAACACTTGGTGCTTGTGTTTTAAGTGTATTAGTTATAAGAAAAATATGGTTGAATTAAATAATAGCCATCTTTGAACTGGTGAGTTTAACTCTTTTATTTATTGTGATCACTGATATGCTATATTTGGATTTACTGTTGTTTTTTCATATTTTCTACTTGTCCTGTTGAGTCCTTTTCTTATTCATTTTTCTCTACTATTTTAGACCTTGTAGATTCTAAGTTTTTTGGTTGAAGTTATCTCCTTTCTCCTAAGAGTCAGTGACTTTTAGCTTAACAGGCTATTACTGTATAATATTTTATTCCTATAAAATGTTCTCTGAAGTATATCACATACAGAAGGATACATGTGTGCATGTCTGTGCATGCATGTGCACACACACACATGCACATTCATGTGCTCACACCCACTCTCATGTCTACTAGTTTGAGAAACAGAATATGGCCTCATAATTCACAATTTCCTAAATTAAATGTTACTATTAGCGTTGATATTTGTTCAGCTTTATCCACATGGTTGCCGTCTTCTTTGATTACATTACTGTCTTTCTTACATCTTGGGGCCCTTTGCCTTATTTCTGAAGTATATGTCCTTCATAAGGATCTACTGATGCTAAATTGTATTTTTTATCCGAAAACATTCTGTATTTCACACTTAGTTCTTCAAAGGTATATTTTGTTGACTATGCAATTAGCAATTACTTTCTTTCACTGTTTTGAAGACATTTTTTATTCTTTTGGCTTCTAATATTGAAGATAAAAAGTCAGATATTGAGCAGGGAGGGGCTGGGGGTTTAGCTCAGCGGCATAAGCCCTGCCTTGCAAGCAGGCGGTCGTGAGTTCAATCCCTGGTACCGATAAAAATGAAGAAGACAAAAAAAAAAAAAAAAGATATTGAGCAGGGTAAATTATTTTCTTTTTTATTTTTAACTACCTGGTTTGGAATGTTTCTTGAGGTTTTGTAGTTTCATGAGGATAAGTCTGGAGGCAAATATATTTTGGAATATTTTAGGATCCATAATATTTTTTAAATATTGTTTCTATCCAATCTCTTTAGTCACTTTCTCTGATCCATTTTGGATGAATCTTTAAAGTGCTCAAACTTCCATATCAATAAACCTCCCTTTCATGGTTTTTCTCTTTACCTCTCTAAGTGTATTCCAAGTAGTTTTGTTATACCCCTGTGCTAATTTATTCCATTTTTCAGTTCTCTAGTGAGAGCATGTCGTTAACACATGCCAGTCCCTTCACCGTCTACCATCTACCATCACTCACTAGCACAACAAAGCTGAGTTTTTTTTGACAGAGCCTGTGTGGCTTGCAAAGCCTGAAGCCTACGTGTCTGACCCTGGGGAGAAGAGTCTGCCAAGCTCTGCTATGAGAGATCATCCCAGTACCCTCATGTGTCTGATTCAGCTGCTTGCTGCTTGATTCTTTTGCTAACTCTGATGGTGTTTTCCTCCATGTGAGGCTTGCGATTCTGTGTGTGTGTGTGTGTGTGGTTCTGGGGATGGAACTCAGGGCCTCTTGCATGAGAAGCAAGTGTTCTACCACTGAGCCGCATTTTATTTTTTACTTAGAGGTGAATTTCACTGGGTCGCCCAGGCTAGGCTTGAACTTGCAATCCTCCTGCTACAGCCTCCCAAGTAGTTAGGATTGTAGTTGTGCCGCATGGCCCTCAGCTGATACTAATTTTTTCTTATTACGAGTTCATCTTTGTTGAAACATTATCTGGGAGGCTTTTATAAGGCTTGAATTAAGAGAATGCCTCTTCTATTTGTGTCTATTTTTGCAAGGTTCCCAGCCATTTTAATTTTATTATTACTACTGAATATAGTTGCAAAATAGATTCATTTCAATCCAGACTTGAAGCCTGAATTGTGATTATTTATTTACTCGTTTTACCTCTCGTAGAGGATAGGGACTGTTATTTTTCCTTTCAATCAAAAATCAGCTTTGAGACACAGAAGTTTTCTTTGCATGGCAGTTATTTTCCAGTTCACCCTTTTACTGGGAATATGGGCCTTTGGGGACTCATTCCGGTCTCCATGTTGGCACTGCGCTGCCTTGTGGACGGCCTCCCCTGTCTCCCTTAGACCCCTAGACACCATTAAAACTAAAAGCTCTAATTTAGAAAACACTAGCAAATGACCTTAAGGTCCTCTGCCTGCTTGAGGGCCCGTTTACTATACTCCTTTGGATTTTGGCTTCCACTTCATTTTTGACCCCTGGAAATTAGCTGTGTTCATTAGTTATTAAGATACCTTATTCATTCTATCTAACTTTTTAGGAAGAAATGTCGGGAATCTTGCACTGCTGGAAATGAATGTCAGCTTGTAGTAGAGTGCTTACTGAACATATGCAAGGTCCTGAATTCAATTCCCCAGTACTGCAACCAATCAATTGATTTATTAGTAGGTCAATCAATCCCTAGTACTACTAGGAAAATGGAAATGAAAGTTTCTTTTTTTAAAATTTTATTTTGAAAGTCGTAAAATACAACAGAACAAGACAGAATAAAGCCAACTAAGATCGTATAGTGAAATTGGTACAGAACTTCACAGCAGGTTACTGGGATAACTGTAATAGTTATCACAGTATATTTCATTATCTTTATAATAGTTGTTCTTTCAATCACGTATATCAAAATAAAATGAGATACAGAATGTTGGGAGCCGCAGCCCCGAGCCCGGTCGCCTCACTTGGCAGACGTGAGGCCTGTAGTAAAGAGTGAAGCCTGAGGTAGATTACCCCTCCCATCGAGCACGTTAGTTTCCTGCTTACCGCGTAAGCAACCCGCTCAACAATATAGTCTGCCTGGCAACTGATGATGTTAGCCAATCAGCTTGCCTTGCTCACTTTAACATGATTGGACACTGTATCCGTGTATATATACCGGTGCCACCCCTGGGGGGAAGTAGAAGCCCGGTAGAAGCCCGGAAGTAGAAGCCCAAAAGGAGCCGCAGAGAGCGGACCGGTAGAGGCTTCGGAGCGAAGCCCAGAAGGAGCCGCGGGGAGCGGACCAGAGGAGGCTTCGGCTGGGAGCGATCCCAGGGCAGGCTGTACGGAGAAGAAAAATAAAAGAAAAGGTTGTCCACTGCCAGACTTTGTCGTGTGTCCTTCCTGCCGGCCGGGAGCGGACATCGACATTTGGAGGCCCGCCCGGGGACTGATCACCCCCGAGACGTGACAGCGGACAACGCTCCAGTACAGAGCTGCGAGACAGGTGAGTTGGGGATAAGCCTGGGCTCTGGGTGGCGCGCACCTACAGGGCTTTTAGACTCCCCTCAGGCTCACGCGTAAGTGGCGGATTCCTTGGGCCTCACGCGGTGAGTAACATATTAAAAAATGGGAAACATGCTAGGTAGCAACACTAAGAGCGAGGGTGGTTGTGGAGAAAGCTCTCAAGAGCTTACAAAAGTACGCAGGGTATCTGAGCAGGCCCAGTCAGGGAGCTCCCGAGAGGGGCCCGTCAAGGGGAACAAAGATGCTAAGGAGGAGGATGGGGCTCTAGCCTCGGAGTCGTCTGACTCCGAGGACGAGGGAAAGTTGAATGGCAAGGAGGCCAAAGAGACCAGCTGTCAGGAGCCCAAGTCGCTCGATAAGGAGTCACAGGGTTCTTTTCCAGCGTTGCGCCGCGAATTGCGCTCTGCTCAACCTGGTCTGCGGAGGAGTAGAGAGCTCCTGAGCGCTCCCCGGCGCGAGAGGGAGGCGATCCCTCGCCACGAGGCGGCCGCCTGGGAGCTCCCTCCCCTTTCGCCAGAACAGGAAGTGATGCACGGGCCCCCATTTTCCGCCCAATCACGGCCGCCGTCTTATGCTCCGCCGCCGGCGGGTCGGTATTTTTACAGGCGGCTTTGGCAGGGGGGACGCTTGTCTCATGAGGTACATCCACCTGGGATAGATAGTGGCCCCTACGGGATATTTCCTGTACAAGTAGCTATGGGCCAGGGACGCAATGCATGAGAGCCTTTTGAGATAAAGCAGATTAGAGAACTTAAAAATGCAGTTACAACCTTTGGGCCGACTGCGCCTTACACCATTGCCATGCTGGAGAATCTGTCTTCTGGGCCCCTCACCCCCGCGGACTGGATTCAGCTGGCAAAGGCGTGTCTGCCCTCGGGCAGTTACCTGGATTGGCGAGCCTGGTACGCAGAGTTCTCTGCAGAGCAGGCTGAGAGAAACGCCAATCGGGGAAACCGGGGGTGGAACAAGGAAATGCTTATGGGAGAAGGTCGGCACGCTGATGATCAGACTCAGTTCCCCGGCGCTGTCTATGAACAAATCAATGCCATAGGGCTCCGCGCCTGGAAGCAGATAAGTGGTGCCGGAACAGCCTCCTTGTGTCTTTCAAAAATAATTCAGGGTACCACAGAGCCATTTGTTGACTTTGTGGCCCGAATGCAAGATGCTGCCGATAAGATATTTTCTGATCCGGGAGTGGCTCGACCGCTGGTAAGGCAGCTGATTTTTGAGCAATGTACAAAGGAGTGCAAGGCAGCGATAGCTCCTCATAAGAACAAGGACCTCAACGCCTGGATTAGGATATGCAGAGAGATAGGGGGGCCGCTCTCCAACTCGGGAGTGGCTGCTCTCCTGGCCGCGGCTGTACAGCAGAGGGGACCTCGCGGGTTAGAAGGGGAATGTAAGGCTAAAAGGTGTTTTGCCTGCGGGGAGCCAGGACACATTAAACGTCATTGCCCAAACAATGCAGATGCTAGGCCTCGCCCTAGGAATGAAGAACCATATGTTTGTGGGCGATGCAAGAGGGGATCACACAAAGCTGAGGAGTGTAGGTCGGTCTTTGATGCTCAGGGCAACCGTATTTGTGGACGAGATGCTAGAGGGCCAAAAAACGGCCAGAGGGGGCCCCCTTCACAGGCGGGCCCCCGCCCCAGAGACAGGACAGCTCAGGATGGCAGCCTTCAACAAGGGCCACCCCTGGGTCAGCAGGTGTGGACCTCAGTGTCGCCTCCAGACTTATACAGAAGGTCACCATTAGGATGGATGGCGTTAGGACCCTAAATGACATGCAAAAACTATTGGGAGACATTAATTGGATTAGGCCATATTTACATATACCAAATTCAGATCTCAAACCCCTGTTCGACCTTCTGAAGGGAGACCCAGATATAGCCTCCCACAGGAGGCTCACTCCTGAGGCAAGAGCTGCCTTACAGAGAGTGGAAAAAGCCTTAGGTGGGGCTACCTTATACAGAATTGAACCAGGGCGACCCTTTGATGTCTGTTTGCTACAGACTAGTCTACAGCCCACAGCGGTGATTTGGCAGAAAGGACCATTACTGTGGATACACCATAAGGTCTTCACCACGCACATAAGAGCACATACATCCCTGCCAGGGCCTATGGCACAGGGGAATGCGGCTGCTGATACTGCCACTCGCCCGTTATGGATTTTTACCTTACTAACACCAATCGAGCGAGCCCGTGCCTTCCATGATAAGTTTCATGTCAATGCCAGGACACTAGCAAACCATTTCCATGTTTCCAGAGCAGATGCACGAGATATCGTGCGACTATGTGACTCCTGTGCCACATACAAACCTGCCATACCGATGGGAGTAAACCCTCGAGGTTTGATCCCTGGTGATGTTTGGCAGATGGACATCACACATATACAGGAGTTTGGGACTCTTAAATATGTTCATGTTTCCACAGACACCTGTTCTCACGTCATATTTGCAACAGCAGAAACAGGTAAAAAAGTGTCTAATGTGATCAATCATTGCCTGGCGGCTTGGGCCGCATGGGGCAAACCAAAAATATTAAAAACTGATAATGGACCAGCCTATATAGGCAAAGCCTTCAATGAGTTCTGCAAAATGATGGAGGTTCAATTAAAACATGGTATCCCATACAATCCCCAAGGTCAAGGAATCATTGAGAGGGCTCATAGAAGCCTCAAAGAAATTTTACAAAAACAAAAAGGGGGAGTAGGCCAAGGCCTGGCCCCAAAGGCACGATTATCCATGGCACTATTCACACACAATTTTTTAAATTTAAATAATGATAATCGCTCCCCAGCCGTGGAGCACTGCAACCCTTCCCCCAACCATAAAGGGTGGGTGAAGTGGAAAGATGTCCTGACAGGACAATGGATGGGCCCGGATCCAGTGGTCAGCTGGAACCGAGGCGCGGTTTGTGTTTTCCCACAGGAACCGGGACGAGAACCACTGTGGATACCGGAGAGACTGACACGGGCAACAAAGCCCTCGACTGAAGATCAGACCTGCCCTACCGGAGATCCATCACAGACCAACCAACAAGATGAATAGAAATAGCGGTAGCCCGAAATGGACAAGAAGATCCTC